CTGCAACTTTTGTGTTTCTTCCTTGTAAACTTTGCCTGCAACAGAAAAACAATAAAATTAATTAAATAAATCATTTTAACTAAATGTATTCAAGCTTTACAAAAAAACACAAGTTTGATGATTAAATTTAAGATTGACTAAAAATATCAAGATTATAGTGAATCTTTTCCTGCACATAAAGAACCTATTTGGAATAAACATTTCAATTTTAAAAGTATAATCTTACATCAAGCTTCTTAACCTTACAAAAATCTGCTTTTGCAAAAGTTTAATATATATTTATATGGGTATTTTATTGATGTAGAAATTACAACACAACTTCTTTATAGTGATATATTAGTCATTCCCTTTAAAAGTGAAAGATTAATATGTGCTTTTATGTAAAAATTACAATACAACTTATTTCTTTTGAGTGATACATTAGTCATTCCCTTTAAAAGTTTAATGTATTTTTTTTTGGTAAAAATTGTAATACAATTTACTTAAAATTTACTTCTTTACAGTAATACATTACAGTAGTCGTGCAAAATAATTAATTATCTTAAAAGTGAATAGTGATAAAGTGAAAGGGACTAAACAGTAAATTATAATGTCTCCAAAACAGATCATAAATGCAAGAAAAAACATTTGCAAATATCTTTCAATTTGCTTCTAAATTTTGTTACAGATTTGGCATAAAATGCAGTTAATACTTAAGGAACTAAACAAATTTCACTGGAAGTCAACAATCCCCAAAGTGACCACTACAGTCCAAAGAGCACTCTATTGCCTTCAATAAATGTTAGTAACACAGACATTTGCAAATTACCATGGGCAGCCTGATAAATGGAGGTCATACCTGACAATTTCCACCCTGGTAGCGCATTCGGACTGCTTTTCTTTCCACTGAGGCTCATCCCAGTCTAGTTCATAGAACACAACCACCAGGGCTGGCACCAGATTCAGATGTTTATTCATCCAGCCAGTCTTTAAGATCCCTTTAGGAATGTACCATTCATACGAAGTTCTCTACAAATAGTGGTAAAAGTTAAGGAAGTGGTTTTTGTTTAATTTTTTATAATAATAGCAGCAGAAACCACCTATTGGGTGCCAAGCAATGTTTGTACATTTATCTCATTCAATATGCACACTACCCATTTTGAAGATGAGAAAATTCAGGTTTACAAAAATTAAATAAGAGTTAGCAAGTGTTAGAAGTAGAATCTCAACCCTAGAAACATTACATTTCCCATTTAAGGAAGAATGACCAAAGTCAAAGAGCTCCTAATGATGTCTAGGATCTCAAGTACCCTGTAAAGAAGTATCCAGTCACTTTCTAAGCAAATTCTACTCCTATTCTTCACCATTCCAGTTTCTGTTTTTGAAAAAGCTGCTAAAATTAAAATATTGGCTGAAATTTAATATGGCTTCACTTATTTCAAAGATATATTGCCAGGAAAACAATTCACTTTACTTGTGGATGAAACATCATTCACAAGCTTGTTTTATATCACCAGCTTGTGGCATGGTTCCAGTTACCTAACACAAAGCAAGCACCCAAAAAGTGTATCTGAAATTGAACAAAACTGAAAAGACCATGGATTCTATAACAATGATGTTATAGAATAAAGATATTCTATAATGATGAGAAAGATAAGACTTTCCTTTTAAGACTTTGTGAAATTTGTGGAGACATGGGGTTCTTTTTCTACAAATAAAAATGGCAAATGTAGGCTTATAGGTTACAAAGCTTTTAAATGTAATTATTCCTCTGGGTTTAAAAATTAACCATTAATAAACATATATATAGTGTACTACATAGTACATAAAGATGCCTAAGGTTTTCTTTATACACCACTGTAACCACTGCCATGATAAACTTAGGGATTTTCCCACACACACGAGAACAAAAAATGACGTATACACATACACACAGAGAGGGAGAGAATGCATACAATCCTAATGTCATTACCTTGGGTCTACATTTGGGATATTCATGATCTCCTGGGAGCACCTTGAAAGAAATTGGTACCCGATCAGCTCTTCGATTGGCACAGAAAGCATCCCAGACAGCTCGATGGACAGCATTATAAACTACATCTAGTCCAGTAAGTGTAACAAAAGCCATAGGCCGACAACATAATTCCACAGGAAAGTCCCACTGTGTGGGGCTCATAGTTATGGTGCCACAAAAAATCTGAAATACAAATGTTAATACATCCATAATTAATTTTAAAAAAACAACATCTATATATAATACGTGAATATCTGTCATTCAAAAATCATTACAAAAAACTGAAATGCTTTGAATGTCTGAAAACCATCAAGCCCATATAATGGAGGAAAGCAAAAGGTGAGTTGGATCTATTAAAATTATTATGTTAGATTTGTTTTTAAAAATTTCACATTAAAATAATTGTAATTAACTTTCAGATATATCAGTAATTTTTCAAAACATACACCAAACTTTGGAGTTAGCAAATCAAAAAAGTAAGAAGGAAATCAAAACAATAGGTCTACATGACCTATTTCATATATAATAAAAGAAAAATAATTATTGACTTATATAATAAAGTATAACTTCCTCTAATTTCTCTGTAATAGATAACATCAAATTTTTCAATGTCTAGAATATTATTAATATAATATGCTTATTAAAGTAACAATTATTTTCTCATTTTCAAAATTTAATATAAAATGTACTATTTAAGGGAATATTTGAAAGAAAAATTAATGGAATTTGCTAGGAGAGTATGTCTCTATTATGCCATTTAGCTAAGACTATAATAAATCCAAGTACGTGCTGACTGTGGAAAAACACTTACATGAAAATGTGCTTTTCCCAAACAAAACTGTGATTTTTTAAAATAACCTCATTTTAAAAAAGATGTATCATGAGCTCCTTAAAAACGTGATGTTTGGGAGCTGGGGTTGTAGCTCAGTGGTGGAGCGCTTGCCTAAGCACATGTGAGGCACTGGGTTCAACTCTTAGCTCCATATATAAATAAATAGAATAAAGACCCATTAACAATTAAAAAAGAAAGAAGGTGATGTTCACCAATATATCATACAGAACTCAGCATAATAGTGTGAAAAATGAGGTGCACTTATGCCACTACTTGATCCCTAAAACATGGAATATTTGTAACTGAAAAGTTAATTTAGGAAAGACTATAAGCATCTTATGTTCATGTACTAAGAACAATGAACATTGAATAAATGATTTGGAAAGTTTGCCAGAAATGATAACTGTCTACAACATAAATTGCGAAATTCTTCAGATAGATATTTTTAAGACAGGATTAAGCTATAAGGGCAAAGATAAAATATGCTATAACTAGGGGGAATGAACACTAAAAAGAGGTAGTCCAAATACAAGATATGTACCTTTGCTTAATACCAAAGAAGCCAGACTAGAGCTCTAAAGGTTAATTTTTCTTAATAATCCCAAACACTCAAAAGAAATAGCTCTCATCTTTGAATATGGAGTAAAAATAAAGGGAACTACAAATGACTTATAAAACTTTAAATCAATGCTAACCCAAGAGAAATATAATATCAGCCACATAAATAATTTTAAAATTTCCAGCAGTCATATTAAAAGTAAAAAGAAAAATGGAACTCATTTTAATAATATTTTGTTTACCCTGGTAAATCTAAAAACATCATGCAAACATTAATGCTATTAATGATATTTTGCATTTTTTTTCTTCACTGTCTTGAAAATCTAATATTTTATATGCACAGCACACATATCCATTCAAACTAGCCTATTTCAAGTGCTCAATAGCCACATGCGGCTATTGGTAACCATAATGGACACTGTAGCTCTAAATTATGGTAAATATTCCAAAATTACTATATGAAAACTGTATCATAAATTCCTCCCATATTCTACCTTAAAAGTTAGACACTTGAAATAGTCATGCTTATTTTGAAACATAGGGATGGAAGAATGGGAAGAACACAGGTCAAGGACAAGTGCAGACCGAATGGATGTTAATGACAGCCAGGAGAAATTTCCAGATATCCTGGAAGTAGCCAATGGGGCAACTAACCAAATTGACATTGAAAGGCATGCAGAAGCAGTAAATGAACATTCTGGATGGAGGCCATGTAATGTAAGGGAAGTAATCTGGCAGCTAGCATGGAAGATATAAGGAAGGTGACCCAATCAAAGTGGTAAAAAAAAAAAAAAGAATGTGATGGTTATTTTTTAATTAACTGTAAGTTCAGGATGCAGGACATATGCTATTAGAAATGGAATCCAGAAATGTCCAACTACAAAATGATCAAAAGAATGACAGTTTGGAGCCGAAATGGGGGTGGGGTGTGAAAAGCTGATTTGGGGATGTGAAGCAACACTATTCCTAAAATACTCAGGAAAAGATTGTGCCCTGGTAGCTCCAATAAGGACCGGAAGAGAAATATCTTTGTAAGCCCAAAGGCAGACGAAATCTTTCTCTCCTACTACCACCCACCACACCTGAAAGTTCCTAGAAATAAGCGCGTTTCATTTCGGGGCTAACAGGGAAGTTCCAGGATTGGCACTCCTTTACGCCTTAGGAAAACGCAGGCCCTCAAATCAGTACTGATAAGAGATAGTCATTTTTCTCGGCCGTCTCGCCAGGCCCCGCACATCTCCGGGCCCTCACTCACCCAGGACGCACGCCCTGGGCCCGCAGTAGCTGTGGCCGGTCGCCGCCTGCAGGGAGAGGACGAGGGGAGGCAGGCAGGGGTGTCACAGACCGCCCAGAACCTTCCCTACGGTCGAAGCCCGCGAGCCGGCTCCAGTAGGCGAGACTTCCTTTTCCCCACACACTGGCACAGGAAGCACTTTTTGGACCTGCGTGACAGCACTCTACACCAATCGCAGTCCTGGATCTTTACGTTGCTCCTCAAAACGTCAGGAAGGCGCTCCACTTCCCAGAGGAGAAAGATCTGGGGGCGGAGACAATATCATCCAATAGCAGAAGCGGTAAGTGGGAGGGGGCGGAGCCTCTGCCGTTGCCGCCCTGCAGACTCCTACTAGACGCCTGAGCGCCCCACCTGCCACGGCCTCGGCCTTCCGCCCACTGCCCACCTAGTCCTGCTGGGTACTGCAGACCGCTGAGTGTGCGCGTGAACTCGCGTTTACGGCTCCGAAGGAGCTTACTCCCCACCCTGCATACGCGGCACCGAAGGGGAACGCCCTGGCCTCGGGGCCGCTGCTCTTGCTTTTTCTTAGTTGTCGCGAACACTGTCCGCCTGGGAGGCGCCCGGCGCGATGAGCGCCAACGAGGACCAGGAGGTGAGTTCTCGGGCTGGACACTCTTTTTCCACGCTAGCCCGTAGGTAGGGCATCCTAGCAGCCCGAGGCCCCGCACGTGTGTCCTTCGCCTTAGAGCCCGGCTGAGATGCCCTTCCAGGAGGGGTCAAGTATGTGTGACTGGGGGAGGGTCCGCCTTGACCTCACCCTACCCGCATTTGTATTTTTGCAAACCTGACAATCTACCTAGGTTCCTTATTACCAAAGATGAGTGCCCTTGGTACCCGACCCTGGTGTGCTCGGCTGTCTTTATATCCCAAGTTGCTTAACGCTTGAGTACTGAGTTATGCTGACTTGGAATCTGACCACCTTTAAATTTTAAAATGCGTTGGCTGGTAAAGAGAGGGTTAATTCAGTTAGTTAAATTTCTGGTCGGGGAAAATAATGACACTAGTGTCTCCAGTTTCTCTTCATACTGTCTAGTGAACTCATTTATCCATCTGTTAGTTGTTCAGTGACTACAAAATTTGTTGTGAGTACATAGATACCATCTGAATTGTAGGGTTTATGCTTATTTTATTGTGAAATGTTTGACATTGAATCATTTAATAGAGTTGGAAGGGATGCCAAAGGTCGTCTGGAGGGGACTCTTCTAACTGTAATGTGTATAAATGAGGAAAGATGTCTATAGTGATAAAGTGAGTGCCCCAGGCTGCACATTGAATATATGGTAGAATTAGGATTAGGACCCAAGTCTCCCTGGGTCGTAGATCAGTAGTATTTCCCTGTCTATTTAGAATGGAGTGTATTACTTGAAAGTCAGCATTTTACATGATATCTAAATACCCTTCTAAAATATTCTTTCCAGGTGAGTTTCTAAAACATTAATAATCCTGACTCCTGGCGGATTGGGGGGATATGTTCCTAGGAAGAACTGGAGGAGATGTTTAATCAATGGATACAGAGTTACAAGTGAATAGGAAGAATAAGTTATGTTCTGTTACACTGTAGAGTGGCCATAGTTAACAATAGTGTGATGCATATTTAAAAATAGCTACAAGAAGGGATTTCAAGTGGTCTCATCCCTGAAGAAACAGTGAATTGGTAGCAAGAGAAACTCGTGGAGCCTTTCAGAAATCCAGATAGACTGCAGGAGTGGTGTTTTTCCGCTAATGAACCAATTGAATTACCTTAAGAAGGATTAGATACATCTTGTTTTACACGTACTTGCTAGGTTTTAAGTATTTCTTCTTACTCTCTTGGGCTGTCATATACTATTTCTTTAACAATTTATTCTAAAATTTTGTCCATGTAGATTAAGGTCATCATCTTTATTTTATAAAATTCATGACATGAAATCTTTTTTAGAAAACTCAAACATATACCCAAATGCATTCTTTTTTGCATCTCTTCTCAGGAATTCACCCAGTGCTCTCTAAAAGTGATTGAGACTTCTTTATAAAGCCATGGTATTCTAAGAAATATTTTCAGGCAAGGATTACTAGTTTCTTGTAGTCCTATCCTCTTATCTTGAGTAGATCCTGTCAGTGTTTTTCTTAAAAGTTCTTGTGCCTTACCTGTTTTTTTTTGGTTTGTTTTGGTTTGGTTTGGTTTTTTATAGCTTTGTATCATTCTATGGAAAGAATTACAAACATAAATAATATATGTAAAGAATGAGAATTTGTTTATGCTTCTTATTTTTCATCTTCAAGTTTAATACTTTCTCTATCCCAGGCTGCTTTTCGATAGAATGATAGAGGGCACCTTCTCTGGAGTTACTTTAAACCAAATCTTATATTCCTCTATAGTAGGAAGGAGGAAATCTGGTGATAGGATCTTCTTCACAAGATTGATTTGAGAATTAATTGAGAAGACACAATGTAAAATGCTTAACGTTTTCTAATACATAGTTTCAAAGTAAGTATTTTCAGTGTGATTGTGATTTGTTGGTATGTACACATATATCATCATCATCTAAGTTCTTATAAGTTAACCAATTTTATATAGTTGAGTGGGCTTGAATCAGAAGCTAAATACCCTACATTTAATCCATTTATACCACTAATCCTAACTCATTGATTTTCTTTCAGATGGAACTAGAAGCATTACGTTCTATTTATGAAGGAGATGAAAGTTTCCGGGAATTAAGTCCAGTTTCATTTCAATATAGGGTAAGACATGGCATGAATAGGTATACTTATTGCTTTGCTAGGAAAAAACCAAAGATTGCTAAAACTGCTGATTATTTTTTTAAATTTAGTGTTTTAAATTTATTACATCTTTGTGTTTTCCAAAGGAGTTAAATAAAAGATTCATCACAGTGACGTTAACCATTCTTAACATTTAAAATTTAATTCAGAATCTATTTTAAAATCAAGATAACTTATTTTTTTATTGTGCCAGAATCATAAAACCTTGGAAATTATATGGTCTTGCCTTCTTAAAGATGACTTCTCTCCATTTAACTTCTAAAGCTCCTTTAGCTGATATTGATAAATATTAGGATGAAAATCCAAGACTATATTCCAGGTCTAGTGTGCTTTTTACTATCCTATGATACAGTCAAGAAAGGGTAATATTTTCTTAATTCTGCATTCTAAATATGTATGGATATTTAATATATGTAATGGACACATATGAAACATTTTTCTTTGAAATGGGAGTTGCTTGTAACTTATCAACATAAAAGAGTGTCATTGTTTTATGTTGTAAATAAATATAAACAAGTTATCCAAGAGATTATAAGTAATAAAAGATTTATGGCTATTATGCACATTGCCACCATTTAAAATAAATTACATAAGAAATGATCTTTATATATGATTTTATTGTAGACGATCACAGGAAGTAATTTCCTTATAGTTACTTCCTTTGGATGCTCTCTTCTCTGCTCAACAGTTCTCATTTCCCTTTCAAGTTTAACATTTTAATACCATTTTCATGCACATAGCAGCCAGGAGACTTTTTTTTTTTTTTTTTAAATGAGAGAGTATTTTTTAAATTAATGACAAAGACACTACAGTTCTAAATACCAGACAGAATCATGGAGAAATTTTTAAAATAAACTTAACACTACAAAGAAAACTTGGAAAAGTATGACACTTCTAATAAAAAATATATAGCTAGCTTCAACCAGGGGATTTTTTTAATAGCCAAAATTAAAGGTGGAGTCACATCCTAGGTGCTTCTGTTGAGTCCAGCTGCCTCCTCAAACTTTATTAACTATTGTCATCCTCCTCTTAGTGAATGGGAGATTGAAAATTTCCCTGTACTTTCCTAAATGTCTCCATTAGTATCAGTTATTTATTGAGCACTCAGCACCATATGCAGAATGCTCTAAAATCTCAATCTACTATCTCCAACTCATGTGTCATTCCTCTTCAATCCATCCTTTGTACTATAGGATGGATGTTGACAATTAAAGGAGATAAGTTATTAGAGTTCTGCCAGTGCCCGAGTCAAGCCCCTCAGTTCTTATATAGAATGATTTAGAAAGCTCCTAAATGACTGACTTTACTACTTTCAGTGGTCCTCCAACAGATAGTCATCTCATTCCCTTTTTTGAAAAGGATTCTCCATGGATCCTTCACCTATATAAAAAATGAGAGCTAAATTTCTTAGCTTGACACTCAAAAGACTGATTTGAAATGCCTCTCTAGACCTTCCCAGCCAATAACATGTATTAAATATAATAGATTGTTAAATATTTTCCTGAAGTTGTTTTTTTTAAAAAATATTATGTTTTTTGATACATTCTTTGCTCTTTCCCTCACCTCTTATCCATTATTCATCTGGCTTTTCCTTTAAGGCCTAACTCAAGCTGCTTCTGATATATTTGACCCATGTCTCCTATTTCTGCCCTGACTTTGAAGCAAAAGTAACCATGCTCTTTCTACCTTGCTCTATTTCTTTTAAACTAGTGTACTGTAATTTAGTGAGTCATCTAAATGAGCTATCTTCTTTAAAGACATGAGTGGTGTTGTCTTTTTTTTTTTTTTTTATCTTCAGTATCTATTAGCATAATATGAGACATGTGGCAATTTATTCCTAAGGATACCTGGAGTAGGGACTTAGTGATGGCAGAAAGCAAGTAACTTTTATCACATTTTAATTATCTTTGTATTCAAAACAAGCTTAAACTGATGGCATTATTGTGCACATAATCAACAGGTATATCAATAGATTCCTACATTTATTTGATACGATTTCTGAGGCCGACCTTAGATTGGTATGGAATATGATTAAGACTAAAGGGGTGAGGATGAAAAACTAATGTAAAGAAAATAAAGGTGAATCAAGTAATAATTCAGTTGAAAAAAAAATTTAATCTTATTGCTATTTAAAACAATATTTTTAGGGGCTGGGATTGTGGCTCAGCGGTGGAGCACTCACCTGGCATGGGCGGGACCCGGGTTCCATCCTCAGCACCACATAAAAATAAAGGCATTGTGTTGTGTCCATCTACACCTAAAAAAATAAATTTTTTTAAAAAATTAATATTTTTAGAAATAAATAGAACATATTTTTTAGAAAAACTACAGAGAAGGTGCTGATTCATGAACTATCCCATGGTTTTGTTAGAAAACCACCATGTTGCAACCACCAGTGCAATAATTGATTCAGGCAAGATTATTAATGGATGCTAAAACCTTGAGGTAAAAGATTTTTGAGAAACAAGGTATTCACACAGTTTTGAAGTATTATTCACAAGATTGCTTGGTTACAAAATGAAAAGGTACCTTAACACTGAAGAGATCTGGAGAATATCACCTTAACCAAGTGATCAAATTTAGGATCAGTAGTGATGATTCCAGAAGATCTTATGAGCCTCCCTAGATGATGCTAAGAGAGTATGTCACATCATCTATATGGTATCCTTACCAAAAATGTTGAATTTGAATCTGTATAGAGGAAACAGTCAGTTCATATCTAGCTTTTATATATGAAAACTAGCCTAGATTCTTATAAAAGACATTTAAAAAGCCGGGGAAAGTGCTGGGGACTCTTCTAAATGATCCTTTAATGAATTATATATTTGTGGGTTAGGGTGATGTCTGTTAAAGGATATTTTAGATATGATTGGAGAATTTTTAACATGAATTATAAATTAGGTAATATTTTTGTATCAGTGTTGACTTTCTTAGGTGTGATAATGGTCCTGTGGTTATAAAAGAGAATGTTCTTAGGATACTTTACCCATGTATATTTGAAGACATTACTTTCAAACTGTTCAATAAAAAAAAAAAATGAAAAATATCACACATATTGGGAGAGTGGAAGTTGATTCTATGATAAAAAGGGAGAAATAAAGTAAATGGAACAAAAAGTACTTAGTAAATAAATTTCGGTGAGCATTCATTGTACTATTTCAGTTTTAAGATTATAATTTAAAGAAAAACAAATGTTGGGGAAGCAAAAGAAACAAAAGACATGCTTAAATTATTCAGGAATTACTGTCCAGCCTAAGATATTATTTTTCCTTACCCGTTTTCTTTCTCTCTCAATTTTATATTTCATTTTCTTATTTCTTGGAATTGTATGAATGATATACAAATAATTGTATTTTAATTATTTGTTCTTCATGACTGTTGTGATGTCATAGTCAGAAAACTTGAGACAAAGATGAATTTCAGTTTGTGGATTGTTATTTTTGTCCTTTTTTTTTTTTTGGCGGGGTGTGTATCAGGAGTGCTTACCCACTGAGCCAAGTCCCTAGACTTTTTTTTTTTTTTTTTTTGAGACAGGAACTCACTAAGTTGCTTAGGGCCTTGCTAAATTGCTCTGCTGGGGCTGGCTTTAAACCAAGGATCCTCCTTCCTCAGCCTCCTGAGCTTTGAGATTACAAGCTTATTCCACCGTGACTCCCCATTATCTTCTTATTCCCCCAGTTGATGTCTTCTCTTCATTCCCAGCAAACTTGGTGAAAACCAAAAATTTACATAAGATGTGGCCTTGGTACTAGAAAAGGTGATAGACTGATAGAGAGGCCATGGTCATAAACTACACCTGTTAAGGTAGACTGGGACTAAATTAAAAGTTAGACTCCCTTTATATTCTCCTTTGCCCGGCTCATGAACTTTTCAAAATATTACTTTTCTGATCTGAGCATGAGTATTGGAAAGAATTAATTATTTTAAAGATCATGATTTAGCACTCTGTCTTTTTATCATTTTTCACAAGCCTAAGATTTCCCTTTTCTTCAGATAGGTGAAAATGGTGATCCCAAAGCCTTCTTAATAGAGATTTCCTGGACAGAAACATATCCCCAAACACCTCCAATTATATCTATGAACGCTTTTTTTAACAACACCATGTGAGTAGTTTTGTTTTCATTGTTTTTTCATTTCACTCTCTATTTTACTCTCCTCTTCACATGTTTGTTCTGCATTGTAGATCATCAGCTGTAAAGCAGAGTATATTAGCGAAGTTACAGGAAGCTGTGGAAGTGAATCTTGGAACTGCTATGACCTATACATTGTTTGAATATGCCAAAGACAATAAAGAGCAGTTCATGGAGAATCATCATCCCATTAATTCTACAGTGAGTATGTGATGGGTTTTTTTTTTTGCAAGATTCTTTTGTTGTTTTAGTTTTAGTCTGCTCTTGATTAATTTTAGATCCTTAATATTTTTTTTTTTAAATTGGAAGCAGACTTCATCAAAACTAGAGTACTTATTTTCATAAAACTGGGATATTGTAGAACCTAGTTTTGTTGTTGTTGTTAGGTTTTTTGGTTTGTTGTTGATTTTGATTTTTGGAGTACTGGGGATTAAACCCTGGTCCTTAGTGCATACTAGACGAGCTATCTACCAATAAGCCACATCCCCAGTCCAAGAATCTAGTATTTTTAAAATTTACTTAATCTCTTTATAGAACTTAGATTAGCTAAGGTTTTTCTTATGTAGCACTAAAATATGTATGAAATTGATTTCTCCATGAGACTTATTTTGTAAATAGCTTTGTCATAGTTCAATTTGAAGGTGTTACAGCTTTAGGAGACCTTAATGAATAGAAAAAAATAATGAATTTATTTCTAGAATAATTTTAGGAAATAATCATCTTTATGACCTGAAACATCAAATGTAAATCCTTTTTGCATCAAGTCTTACTTGCACTGAAAGACTTTCAGTTGTCACCACTAATTGAGTTGTATCCTGTGAACAATACTATAAGTTTTTTGGCAGCAAAGGCCATGTTTTCTACTTGAATGGTTGTGGCTTCCACATTCTCAATGAAACACATAGAAGAAAACTCAAAGACAAATGGAGGAGCAGGAGAGGTTAGTAACTGAGCACATGGGCCTAGGACCAGCCTGCCTGAGTTCAGATCCTCACTTAACCACTTATTAACTCTGACTTTAGGCAAGTGTTTTAATATATCTATGCTTAGTTTCTCACCAGCAAAATGAAGATTATAATAGTATCTACCTTATAAAATTATAGTAAAGATCAAATTGGTGGCATGTAAATCATTTATAGCCATGGTTAACTCCTAGTAAGCATTGTAAATTTTAGCTATCATAAATACTGACCATATGAACCCAAATGTTTTAAAGATTTTCTTCAGGGAACCAGATGTTTTAAGTAGGTACATGTTTAACTTTCCAAATAGTAAAAGTTAACCAAACTGTAAATCGGTCATGGAACCTTGTATCTTTAACATAATACATATAATTAAATCTTCCTTCTTAGGGTTTTGGTTTTAACTCTTGCACTTAGTATTATGTTCTTTGATGTGAACTACTGAGTGAAACCAATAATGTGTTAAGGGTACCCGATTTAATAAATGGGATTCTTTCATTTCATAGGTCTAGAAATTTTAAACCTTTTTTGGATATAGCTATATTTAATGTAACTCAGTAATAAGGTTGGAGTCTGAGAAGTGTTTATTCTTTTTAATTTTTTTTCAGACATCTATAAGCAATATCATCTCTGTTGAAACTCCTAATACAGCTCCATCAAATAAGAAAAAAGACAAAAAAGAACAACTTTCTAAAGCCCAGAAACGTAAACTGGCAGACAAAACAGGTTTGTGTTATTTTTTGTCATTTTATAACACAGATAAATGGGTTGCTTTTTGGCATGATATGGATACTTAATATATTTAGATTTAGAATATTAATTCTCTATTCTTTATTCTTGGAACATTTAGATCAGAGACTTCTTGGGTCACAGGAATATTATAGATATTTAATGCTACTTTATCACAAGAGATAATCATTTGAAAATAAGATCACTGAGTGGCAAAGTAACTATAAATGAGTCTGAAAATGAGCAACATTAGAATAGTATGGAAAAATGTATGTCCCACTTGTACACTCTAGCATGTTTGGGGTTTTCTAATTTACCTTTATGGCACATGTACATAATATTAAAAACTGTATAGAATAAACCTTTCTCTTGAAATGAAGTCTGATAATACCATTAAATCTTAGCATTGTAAATAATTTAATAATTTTGTATATAGTTAACTTATTTGTACAACAACACTAAGATTTAAGAACAGAAATCCCATGTGTCCTAAACCAGAGTCCTTTAGAAAAGGATTATAAACTTCTACAATATACTTGATACCTTTACTTAACTTGGAAATTTGCAAATTGATATCAGTCTATAAATTTTTCCTGGTTGGGAAAAATGTGAACACTATCATGCATACACATTTATACTTAAAAATCTGTGCGCTACTGGTGTAAGGTTATAAAATGCCCTTTACTAAAAACTGATCCTTTTATTTTGGTGAGGGGGTTTAAAATTCTCTTGTAGTAGGATTGGTGGTTTATGTTTTATTTAATGTCTGTCTGTGGCAGAATATAAATAAAGCAACCCTGTGTTAGTCCTCAAAACTACATTTTTGAAATTGTAATGGTTTCTGAAATAAAAATCTAGGCATCTGTTATACCTCATGTCAAAGCAGCATTAAAATATGAACAATGGAAACAATACATTGTTAACATGCTATGGTCTGTTTTCTAGAATTTTGGTTACTATTTTTTTGCAGTGTTTTCGCATTTGTGTCAGTTACCTGTTACTTTCAAGAAGAATGACCTATGATCACTTTTTTTCACTAATATCTCCCAAACTTCATTCTCTTTGATGATATCCACCTAAATTAGTTGTTTTCTCCTTATAATGGCAATGTAGCAGTTAGTGACTTGAAGCTTTCATTCCTAATAAAATTTTAATAGGACACAGCACAATGAGTAAGGTATAATTAACCAAAATTAGTGACCTTCCGCTGTGTACCTCATAACTAACAACCAGTAGGATAAGATTCTTATTGGCATGAAAGAGAAAAGAACCATTAGCATCTAAAATTGAGCTCCAATGATATTGCCTCTTTCCTATAAGAATCCTGGGGTTAGGAGGATAGGGTCATACTCAGTGGTAGAGCACTTGCCTAGTACATGTGACGCACTGGGTTCAATTCTTAGCACCACACAAAAATAAATAAATAAAATGAAGGTATTGTGTCCATCTACAACAACAACAAAAAAAAAGATATTTAAAAAAAAAATAAAGAATCCTGGGGTTATTTGCTTTTTCACTTGCTGTAAAATTAATACAGGTTGATTATCCTTCATCTATTTAAGACCAGAAGCATTCAAATTTTGGAATATTTGTGTAGTTATCAATTGAGCAACCCTATTCTAAAAATCCACAATCTGAAATGCTCCAAAATCTAAAACTACTCAAACAGTTTCAAATGTTGGAGCATTATGAATTTCAGATTTTTGGTTATGTATGCTCAGTCAGTATTATTTTTAATATAGATTTTGATGGCTTCATAAAATGAGATATACATAGAACATACTTGAAGCATAAAGGAAATCAAGCCATTTGAATTAAATAATTTTTAAATAGTATTGATTGTTTTGAACTTGTGTATCAAAAGAATGAAAACACCTTATAAACTATGAATTCTTCTGTAAGTTCTTATGAACTTGTTTTCAAGTATTCTCAATAGAAGAATTATTTAAATAATACTTTATCAGAGCACAGCCAATTTTACATAAATTAACCAGGCCTCTTCTTAGTCTTGAAGCCACCCATATGTTTGTGAGACCTCCTGTGTTGGCCTAACTTCCTGGTGTGAAATGCTCATTCAAGAAACAGTGAACTAGCACAACTTCTTACTTAATAGGCAGGGACTTTATATAAAGAAGAATTCTGCAATCCATGAAACTAATAAATTGATTCCAACCCACCTGTGTATTTTTCCTTAATAATAGGTTTTGTCTTGAGTGGAAACAAAGTAAATGTAAAAAGGGGATATACATCAACTACTTTGCAAAAATTCCCAGGAGAATGGTGCTTTCAACTCACAAAGATGATAAACTATTTTTATGACTTAGAAATATGGGATTTAAACCTTGAATCTATTTGCTATATGTAATGTACAAAATCATATTTGTTAGAAAATTTGGAACTAGCTGAGTCTTAGAAATACAATTACTCTATTTTATTCTTCAGATCACAAAGGGGAACTTCCTCGAGGCTGGAACTGGGTTGATGTCGTGAAGGTATATAATATTTATATTCTCGTCTTCAAAACTATTACAGTTATTGCCATCAATTAATGAAATTTATGTTTTCAATTCCTACCCTCTCTGCAATCTTTGGAATTTCCTGGGATGTCTGTTTACATTCAGCATGTAAGTATTTTTGAAATATCCTTCGTTCTTGGCTTCCTAATATCCTGAGTTTTAGATGTTCTTTTCTTAAGTATTGCAAAGTCTACAGAAGTAAGTTATTGCTACAAAAAGCATGACTGTTTACATAAGTTTATATCAAGAATGGACATGCTTATAAATGACTTTAAATTATGGATAATATAGAAACTGAAGAAAAAAACAGTCATGGAAAGGAATGCTTCAGTTTTATTTTTAAGTACAGACTATAAATGTAGTTGCCCATCATTAGCAAAAAAGATTTTCTGGATTTGTTGCTTAAAATTGTTTACATTCTATTTTTAAATTTCTCAAATTTGTCTTGCACTTTCTAGTTTCAAATATATTAACTTACATTTAACACAGTAAGGTAGTTCTCTTTGTAGGACTTCATGAAATAAGTTTTGCATGGCAATTAGTCCACAACTGCTGTAAGTATTTAAAAGTAAAGATTAGGGTTTTAGTGAGGACCCACAGATATGAATAATTTACAAGCAGCTTATTCTTTTTTTTTAATAGAACAGGATATATGTTCATCAATCAATAGTGACTACTCTCTTTTTAAAAATATCTTTATTATTTTTATGTGGTGTTGAGGATCAAACCCAGTGTCTCACACATGCTAGGCAAGGGCTCTACCACAACCCCAGCCCCAAGCAGCTTATTCTTTTTTTTAATTTTTTTTATTATTTTTATTTTTTTAAAGAGAGAGTGAGAGAGAGAGAGAGAATTTTTTAATATTTATTTTTTAGTTTTCAGCGGACACAACATCTTTGTTTGTATGTGGTGCTGAGGATCGAACCCAGGCCGCATGCATGCCAGGCGAGCGCACTACCGCTTGAGCCACATCCCCAGCCCAAGCAGCTTATTCTTGAAGTTTATTTTAAAAGCAACTATTTGGCCCATGAAATGTGTGTTCTATAGAAACTGTTTAATCTTTGTATGTCTAGATATAGGGGAAAATTTTTTTCTAAGAGTAGGGAGCCGTGAGGTGCAAAAAGAATAAAGATGCACAATATATCTTCCTCCCTTCCTGGGCTAGAGGCTGATCCCATAGATAATTCCATTAAGAAAAAGCTACACTGACATTGGCTCATTATCTTTCCTTTGATGCTTGAGAAATACTTCATGTTGTCCTGCATGTAGCTCGCCATCTGAACACATTTTCTTCCCAACATGCTCTGTGCTCTAGAATGATCTGTTTTCTCAGTCAGATGCTGATTCCCTAGCACAGCAGATCTCAGCTGAAAGTGAGAAGAAAAATAATCTGATTTATCTAAAAGGGAGTGATAGTGCTCCTCCTTCCCTAGCTCCAAAAGCTGTTTTTGAGAGAGTCCCTGATAATGTAAATAAAATTCCAAGTTTAAAAAAAAAAAAAAAAGTAAAATTCAAATAACCCAATAATCTTGGGAGATGGAAAACATTTTTTAAATTGGTGCATTATGATTTAATGGTGGGATTCATTGCAGCATATTTGTAAATGCACATAACATAATTTGATAGCTTTGTTCCATAGTATTCTTCCTAGGAAAAGATATTTTTAAGCCAATTACCTACTAGACAGTTTGTTCCCAGAATCTATTACTTTTAGCCAGTGGTTTACAAGTGTGATTCCTGGTATTCCCAGAATCTATTACTTTTAGCCAGTAGTTTACAAGTGTAATTCCTGAGACCATATCAGGTGGTATGCAAGGTCAAAACTATTTACATCACAACTTTATGATGTTGTTTGATTGTTTTATTCATTTTCTCCTGAGAGTTCAGTAGCATTTGGAGCAGCTGCGTGAACTGTGATGATGTCATCACTAATGCTCCATTAAATCACTAACAGAATGTGTGCTTTTTATATTCTTACGTTTTCCAAAAATTTCTCAGGTAGTAAGTTTGGAATCTAACAGTGTATGTTATTAATTGGGCTGTTCTTGATACTTCTGTGTATTGTCTTTCATGATATCTTCTTTACTATAGAAAGAAATTTGTGACTCTCCAACCAGCTTCTATTGAGCTAGATAATAAAGAGATTTGTAAAAATGTAAAACCAGCCCCACTCTTAAATATTAAGTTTGGTTTGTTTCAGAAACTAGTTATATTTCCTTAAAAAATGTTATTGGGTTATATAATGGGTTTATTTTATTTTTACATGAGTGAAACTTCTTGGTTTTAATTTCAAATGCAGTAAGTAAAAACCCACACTTGAAAAAAAAAAAAAAGAAGAAGAAGAAGAAGAGCTTTTAGGGGCCTCAGTGATTATGTGAAGAGTTTTGAAGTGTTGAGAATCACTACCCTTTGTAGTTCTCCTTTTCACAGCTTCCCATATTCGTGAAGTTATTGGGTACACTGGGGTTTCTCAGTGACTGGGTAGTTATTCTAATCAGAATTATTTTTGTATTACTTGAGAATTTTCTCTGCCTCACCCCCAAATTTACCAACTCCTACCAGAGATTTATTAGAATAGAATTGTAATTTAAGATATTTTAATGATGTTTTCAAAATTACACTTTAAGAATTATTTGGTTAAAATGTCTGTTGGGCTGAGGATGTAGCTCAGTGGAAGAGCAAGGACAGAGCCTTGGGTTCAATCTCCAGAACTGACAAAAAAAAAAAAAAAAAGAATTTATTGTCTTGATAGAAAACAAAAACAGAATGTCATTTCTTTTATAAATGACACCTTCTATTTGTATAATCTTTGTTCTAATTTATTTTTTTCTTGGCAAGCTCCAAGGAATATTTTTTCCTCTTGTTCTGTTGAGGTTATATATTTTTGTCGAGGATATGTTTTTAAACCTGTAGCTAAACCTATGATAAAAGCCATAGATATTTTAAAATTCAGGTTACTTGAACCTTAAAAGTAATAGATTCTGTTTGTTTGATATTGAATGGAAATAATGACTCAAATACTATGATTGCTTAAACTTGTTGCATATTTCTTTTATCTTTTTTTTTTAATAGTTAAGCAAAACTGGCTCTAAAGATGATGAATAACACTTGGAATTTGAGACAAGGAAAGAGCATCCTTTAAAAAGTAAACTGGGTTCAACATCTTTCATTAACTATTTTCTGGTATTGAGGTGACTTTTTATAAAATGCAGGTTTTTTTGTATGTTTCTTACATTAAAAAATGTTGTCAGTGGAAAGTTCATGAAAAGATCTGGTTATATTACATTATTTTCACAAACTTGCCTTAATAAAAGGTGAAATGTTACTGTTTAGTATACTTTATGAAGCCTATTAAGCTTTATAAATGGACAAATATGGGAAATAATAATCAGTGTTAATTTGTATGATCTGATTGTAGTGGCTATGAGCCCTTTTCAAATGTCTTCCCAATACAGCAGAATTTTACATATACAGTTATTCCGTAGTTATTAATTATAGATTTCCCATCTTAAAGTCTTCATCTCTTCTTTTGCTTAATCACTGAAGCATAAATTGCTTCAGAGAAATTTAAATACCAGTATTTAAACTTTTTATGAAACTCTTTGTAGTTAGTTCCTTTTTATTTTTCAATGATGAACTGTTTCCCTTTAATAAATTGGTATCTATTTATACTTTTCTTTTGATTTGGGTCAGGTGTTTGATCATGAGAACTTTCAATGATATGTGTAATAGGAGAATATAAAAACAAACCTGCCAAATACATTAGAAAGAATTTGAATAAATGCTGGCTCTTATTTAAAACATTTGCTGCATATACTAGGATGGGAATAAAAGATGCCTTAATATTTAATTTTTGTATTGTTGGAGACAATGATTTTAATAAATTCCTATTTATCTGCTATTGTGGTGTTTTCGTTGTTAGATAACTGACGTCTAAGTGGGTTCAACATAAAACCACACTTCAGGTCTTGTTATTTTTATAGTGTCTTTGAATATCCAAATGTATTTCTCAACCTCTGCATCTTTTTAATAATATTCATAGAAGTCTTTCAAATGCTGAACTGTTACACATCCTTGATTTTTTAAAATCATTAATAGAGGAAACTATTGGTATAGTTTTACTAAGGAAAGTTATTGATGTTTATGTGTGATTTACAATGATTTCGTGTATGCTCCCCAGCATTAAGAACACTTAGGACTACTGCTGTATATCTGAAAGGGTAGTTTGTTAGTATGTGAAGTTATTCTGCAGGTTTAAAGAATAATTAACTTCTAAAGAAATTACCTTAGCATAAGAGCAGTTTGAGATGTTTCTATGGTTTTTACTGTTAAATTCAAGTAAAAGAGAAGGTCTCTCAAGTTAGTCAGACAGAGGAAAAGATTCAAGTAAAA